TCCCGTGGCAAAATCCTGTAGACTTGTACTTACTCCCATTGCAGAGTTTCCTCCTTAGGCATTCATACTCCTCAAGGATAATGCTTATCCTTTCTTACCACCCTCCCCCCCTGCTCTAAACCAGTGGATAGGTTCTCTTCTCATGGCCGAACTCAATGACCGAAGTAATACATGGCTATGCCGGGCGCACCATAGTAAGGCCGCTATCTAGCAGTTGTTTTCGGTAACTCATCTACTTCGGCATGCCTTGCAACTGGTTGCGATTAGATACCTAACTCAAGTAGGTCAAGTTCTGACCGTAACCAGGTAGACTCGCCGGCATGACTCTACAAGAGACGGCTAATCCGATTCCTGGCCGGTCTAACTCCAAGTTGCCTCCCAACCCGAGTATTTACACCTCTAGCCGCCGAGAACTCTTTCTTGAAGCGAAGTAATTCTCCAAGCTCCTTGGCCGGAGTAAACCTTGCTCTCCTAGGCCGGAGTAAATTCGGCTTTTTTTTACTTATCCTTCGCGTTTTGGGCCTCAAAGCCCAACTCTCAGCTCGGCCCAATTTTTCCCAAAATTACCTCTCATTGCCCTTAATTCCATCTGTGCACACATGATTGGGATTACCAGCTTTTGGCCGAGCTAGAGTTTGTTACGCTTTTTCAGCCGAGCTAAAAAACCCTTTTAGCCTTTCCAGCCGAACTAAGTTTACCTCGGGTATCACTATGTCCGGTCAAAACGTCTTCTCAATCATAGTGTCTGTAACGCTTCCCATTCCAGTGACACGTGGCAGGCTCTGATTGGCTAGGACGGCTGTCACGCCGTCTTCGTGTTTGAGATCTCGAGACGGTCTCCGCCAAATTTTGGGCTCTCTAACAAAAAGTGAACCCTGAGGCTAGGGTATCTTCACTTTTACCACCCTTCATACTCTTCTCTGCTTTTTTGGCTGCTCGAGTTCTTGAGCTTTGAGCTTACTGTGTTCGTGCTTCCGTTGCTGCTACTGCTCCATCTTCAACTTCTTCTTCTCCAAACTGTAAGTTCTGAGAAAACTTGTTTGTTTTGTTTTGCTTTCTTCATTCTGTTTTTTTCTATCTGGGTGAAGCATGCTCGGTATTCCTTGTTTTTGCTTCTGTACTTTCATGAAAAAAGAATAGAACTTGTATGTGTATGAACTGTTATGTAGAAAAACAAGCCTTAGATCCAAAATCACATTGCGACCGAACTAGGATTCTGTTTGCCCCTAATACGTAGATTTCTGTAGTCAATAACCGAACTAGAACTTGTAGGAATGTCAGTAGTTTCTTCTGAACCACTCTAGCCAAGATAAGATTACCGAACAGCTTGCATATACCGAACTAGGTACTTCGGTCTCCAACCGAGCTAAGACCTTGGGGCCAAGCCGGCTTTCTTAGTTCTGAAACCGAACTCAGAAAGCCCCCCTAGGGGCTCAGCCGGAGTAACTTTCCTCACATCGCAACCGATTTAGGCCTTGGGACTAAACAGCTTTCTTAGTTTTTTAGACCGAACCTCAGAAAGCTGCCCCTAGACGTTAAACCGGTCTAAACTGCTCGAAACTCGAGCTAAGAAACCTTCTGATGAGCCGAGGTAGAACACCCACTAGCCGAAGTAGGATTTGTATATCTTGCTTATAATTTTAGCGCGGTCCAACGATCTGTGCTTAACCCCTTTGTTTTCTACTTTGCAGACTTGGTTGCCCAGGCACTCCTGCGTGTGCTCAACCGGCTACTGAGCCTAGATTTTTGTACCGAAATAATTTATTCGTAAATTATACAACAAATGGGTAAGTATAGATATTTAGTCGAAACCCCTGGTGGCATGGCCGAATTTAGGCAGATTACCAGATTCCTGATGATGTCCAACTGGTGATTGGCCAAGAAAAGATGCTACTCCCTGGACAATGAAGGCTTCGTCCCTTTACCCTTCAATCCATAATAGAAACCGGACTACGGTTTCTGTCCAACCGCAATCTGCGAATTTCTTAGACAGACTAGGTTATGTCCCACCCAACTATCCACCAATACATATCGTATTAATAATGGGATAGCCGCATTAAACCACCAAACGGACTAAATCTTGGTCTGGCCGAGATCTTTCCATCATATTCTCATCGGCTCAAAGAATGCTGGGTGGGTTCTCTACTTAGAATTCGCCGCGCCGAGAGAAGATAATAACAACATCCGGACAAAGATCTTAACGATGAGATTCTTTTGGGTCTCTGGGAACTTTGAGGATTTCAAGCTCAAATTCCTGGCGACCTATAATTGGAAAATGGGAGAGCCTGGTATTTTACTTCGGTCTTCTCTTTGTGTTGTTATCTCGGTTGTTTAGTCTATTAGCCGAACTAACACTTCTCTTTTTTGCAGATTTCGCCATTCCATTCTTGTATAGCTATCCTAACCTCGGAGTTTTGCGAGCCGCATTTCGGGTTAAAGAAAGAGATTGGGCCAAGCTTCTAATTTTCGAACCGACCTACCGCTACAGCGGTCGACGGAAGCAAAGGTAACCGATTTTCTTCTCGAGGAAGACCCAGAACCGGACCCATCTTTGCCCGAGATAAGACTTGTTCCCTAACAGCTGAAAGAAGAAATGGCAAAGAAAGCAGAGTTAGGGCCCTCCTGACCGCAACACCAGGGCCGAAGTAACACCACTACTGAGGTTCAGCCCGCCGTCGTAGCCCTTCCTTCACAACGGCCTTCTTCATCTCGCCCTTCAAAACGCGCCCGATCTACGTCAGCCGAACAGCAACTTGTTGACGAAGTCGAATCCGTCCCCCAAAGTCCTCTCCTGCTCCCAACCAGAGCAAACTGACCGAGCTCGTTCTCCGAAGTGGGCTCCGCCTTTGATCTTCAATGACCGAAACATCAAAGCCACTGATTCGGTCGTGGCTGAAAAAGACCACCAACTGGCCTTTAACCTGGCCAAAAGTGTGTGCCTCCCAAGGAACATGGAGCACCACTTGAAGCAACTGAACACCGAAATGAAATCAATTCGGTCTGCTTCCAAGTCCATGATCTTGGTAAGTAGCTCTGTCTGCTTTATCCTGTCTAAATTTTTCTAACTTTTACTTCGGCTGAGATGAGATTTTTGTTTTGCCAGGCCTTGCAAAAGAACAATGTCACTTATAGGAAAGTCCAAGAGCTCCGCAAAACACAAGGCAGGCAATGGCGGAAGCCGAAGCCAAGTCGGCCGAACTACTACAAGCCGAAAAGAGGATGGCCGAGCTAGAAGCAGAAAACGGCCGTCTTGCCGATCTAGTTAATTCGGCGGAAGCGGAGAAGCAGAAAGCTGCCATCGTTATGAAGGACAAGTATTTGCGGGGTTGGTGAAGTTTGAGAGGAGGAAAGACGCCGAAATAGGCGAATTAAGAAAAAAACTGGTGAAGCCGAAAAGGAGGGCTATAAACAAGGTTACAGAAGGCCGAAGACGCCTACGTCAACAATGTGACGCTGCAAAGGAGCTGTTCTTAAATGCGGCTGGAGGGCGGCAGTGGAGAAGCTCGGTCAAGATCAACAGACCGAGGTCTTCAACCCTCCAGATTATTTTATACCGAAGTCCCTGGCGAGTACGCGGCTGCTCTGCAACAACAGTTTTGTGGAAGATGACTCTGATGATGCCTCTGATGAGATACTCCGGCCGAAAATGTGGACAGCCAGTTCGGTCGTGCCACTGCTGAAGACCTAACTGTGATCTCCCAGTGGAACCGTAGCCGAAGTGGCTCACCCTAGTGTGATGAGCTCCCTCGGAGACCGGTCTTCAAGTTGATGCGATGCGGTTTTCGACGCTGAAATTGATGAACTTTTCTCTTGATTTTTACTTTTTCTCCTTTGTAACCGAACTAAGCCCCCTTGTAATGACTTCTCTTTGAATGAAAATTTTACTTCTCTTATTCCGGTTTTGTGTGTATGCTTGCGTTTGTAATGTCTTCCTTTCACTCCAAGTGTTATTTCGGTTTTGGTTGGTTAAACTATACTTACCAGCCAACCACTCCTTAGCCGACATAAATACTTCGGCTGAGGAGTATTAAGTGTGGTTTATTCCAGCCAACCACTTTTCAGCCTTACACTCTTCGGCTGAAGTGTAACAAGTGTTGGTTTATTCCAGCCAACCACTCTTAGCCTTGCACTTACTTCGGCTGAAGAGTCAGGTGTTGGTTTATTCCAGCCAACCACTCTTCAGCCTTGCACTTACTTCGGCTGAAGAGTACAAGGTGTTGGTTTATTCCAGCCAACCACTTCTTCAGCCTCACTTACTTCGGCTGAAGAGTAACAAGAGTTGGTTTATTCCAGCCAACCACTCTTCAGCCTTACACTTACTTCGGCTGAAGAGTAAAAGAGTTGGTTTATTCCAGCCAACCACTCTTCAGCCTTGCACTTACTTCGGCTGAAGAGTAACAAGTGTTGGTTTATTCCAGCCAACCACTCTTCAGCCTTACACTTACTTCGGCTGAAGAGTAACAAGAGTTGGTTTATTCCAGCCAACCACTCTTAGTATGCACTTACTTCGGCTGAAGAGTACAAGTGTTGTTTTTCCAGCCAACCACTCTTCAGCCTTACACTTACTTCGGCTGAAGAGTAACAAGTGTTGGGTTTATTCCAGCCAACCACTTTCCAGCCTACACTTACTTTCGGCTGAAGAGTAAAAAGTGTTGGTTTTTCCAGCCAACCACTCCTTAGCCATCACTTACTTCGGCTGAAGAGTACAAGTGTTTGGCTGAAATGGTTTGGCTGGAATAAACCCCAACTCTTGTTACTTTCAGCCCGAAGTAAGTGTATGGCTGAAGAGTGGTTGGCCGGAATAAACCAATACTTGTTACTCTTCAGCCGAAGTAAGTGTAAGGCTGAAGGGTGGTTGGCTGGAATAAACGAACTCTTGTTACTCTTCAGCCAAAGTAAGTGTATGACTGAAGAGTGGTTGGCCGGAATAAACCAACACTTGTTACTCTTCAGCCGAAGCAAGTGTATGGCTGAAGAGTGGTTGGCTGGAATAAACCAACTCTTGTTTCTCTTCAGCCGAAGTAAGTGTAAGGCTGAAGAATGGTTGGCTGGAATAAACCAACACTTAATACTCCTCAGCCGAAGTAATTATGTCGGCTAAGGAGTGGTTGGCTGGTAAGTATAGTTTAACCAACCAAAAACCGAAATAACACTTGGAGTAATAGAAGACATTACAAAATACAATCATACACACAATAACCGGAATAAAAGAAGTAAAATTTTTCATTCAAAGAGAAGTCATTACAAGGGGGCTTAGTTCGGTTACAAAGGAGAAAAAGTAAAAAATCAAGAGAAAAGTTCATCAATTTCAGCGTCAAAAACCGCATCGGCATCAACTTGAAGACCAGTCTCCGGAGGGAGCTCATTCACACTAGGGTGAGCCACTTCGGCTACGGTTCCACTGGGAGGATCAACAGTTAGGTCTTCAGCAGTGGGCACCGACCGAACTGGCTGGTCCACATTTTCGGCCGGAGTATCTTCATCAGAGGCATCATCAGAGTCAGAGTCTTCCAAAAACTGTTGTTGCAGAGCAGCCGCGTACTCCGCCAGGGACTCCGGTATAAAATAATCTGGAGGGTTGAAGACCTCGGCCTGTTGATCTTGACCGAGCTTCTCCACTGTCGCCCTCCAGCCGCATTTGAAGAACAGCTCCTTCGCAGCATCACATTGTTTGACGTAGGCGTCTTCGGCCTTCTTGTAACCTTGTTTATAGCCCTCCTTTTCGGCTTCCACCATGTTTTTTCTTAGTTCGCCTATTTCGGCGTCTTTCCTCCTCTCAAGCTTCACCAACTCCCGCAAATACTTGTCCTTCATAACGATGGCAGCTTTCTGCTTCTCCGCTTCCGCCGAATTAACTAGATCGGCAAGACGGCCGTTTTCTGCTTCTAGCTCGGCCATTCTCTTTTCGGCTTGTAGTAGTTCGGCCGACTTTGCTTCGGCTTCCGCCATCGCCTGCCTTGTGGTTTTGCGGAGTTCTTGGACTTTCCTATAAGTGACATTGTTCTTTTGCAAGGCCTGGCAAAACAAAAATCTCATCTCAGCCGAAGTAAAAGTTAGAAAAATTTAGACAGGAAAAAACAGACAGAGCTACTTACCAAGATCATGGACTTGGAAGCAGACCGAATTGATTTCATTTCGGTGTTTAGTTGCTTCAAGTGGTGCTCCATGTCCTTGGGGAGGCACACACTTTTGGCCAGGTTAAAGGCCAGTTGGTGGTCTTTTTCAGCCACGACCGAATCAGTGGCTTTGATGTTCCGGTCATTGAAGATCAAAGGCGGAGCCCACTTCGGAGAACGGGCTCGGTCAGTTTGCTCTGGTTGGGAGGCAGGATGAGGACTTTGGGGGACGGATTCGACTTCGTCAACAAGTTGCTGTTCGGCTGACGTAGATCGGGCGCGTTTTGAAGGGCGAGATGAAGAAGGCCGTTGTGAAGGAAGGGCTACGACTGCGGGCTGAACCTCAATAGTTGGTGTTACTTCGGCCCTGGTTGTTGCGGTCAGGAGGGCCCTAACTCTGCTTTTCTTTGCCATTTCTTCCTCAGCTGTTAGCGGGACAAGTCTTATCTCGGGCAAAGTTGGATCCGGTTCTAGGTCTTCCTCGAGAAGAAAATCGGTTACCTTTGCTTTCCGTCGACCGCTGTAACGGTAGGTCGGTTCGAAATTTAGAAGCTTGGCCCAATCTCTTTCTTTAACCCGAAATGCGGCTCTCAAGACTCCGAGGTTAGGATAGCTATACAAGGAATGGAGATGGGCGAAATCTGCAAAAAAAGAGAAGTGTTAGTTCGGCTAACAAACTTAACAACCGATATAACTTACAAAGCAGAAGATCGAAGTAAAATTACCAGGCTCTCCCATTTTCCAATTTATAGGTCGGCCAGGAATTTGAGCTTGAAAATCCTCAAAGTTCCCAGAGACCCAAAAGAAATCATCATCGTTAAGATCTTTGTCCGGAGTGTGCTTGATTATCTTCTCTCGGCGGCGGCGAATTCTAAGGTAGTAGACCCACCCAGCATTCTTTGAGCCAATAGAGTATTGATGAAAGATCTCGGCTAGACCAAGATTCAGTCCGGTTTGGTGGTTTAAAGCGGCTATCCCCATTATAATACGATAGGTATTGGTGGATAGTTGGGTAGGACATAACCTAGTCTGTCTGAGAAATTTGCAGATTAGCGGTTGGACAGGAAACCGTAGTCTGGTTTCTATGATGGATTGAAGGGTAAAAGGCACGAAGCCTTCATTGTTCCAGGGGGTAGCGTCTTTTTTGGCCAACGCCAGATGGACATCGTGAGGAATCTGGTAATCTTGCCTAAATTCGGCCATGCCACCAGGGGTTTCGACTAAATATCTATACTTACCCATTTGTCGTGTAATTTATGAATAAATTATTTCGGTACAAAAACTAGGCTCAGTAGCTCGGTTGAGCACACGCAGGAGTGCCTGGGCAACCTAAGTCTGCAAAGTAGAAAACAAAGGGGTTAAGCACAGATCGTTGGACCGCGCTACAAATTATAAGCAAGATATACAAATCCTACTTCGGCTTAGTGGGTTGGTTCTACCTCGGCTCATCAAAAGGTTTCTTAGCTCGGTTTCGAGCAGTTTAGACCGGTTTAACGTCTAAGGGGCAGCTTTCTGAGTTCGGTCTAAAAAACTACGAAAGCTGGTTTAGTCCCAAGGCCTAAATTGGTTGCGATGTGAGGAAAGTTACTCCGGCTGAGCCCCTAGGGGCGGCTTTCTGAGTTCGGTCTCAGAACTAAGAAAGCCGGCTTGGCCCCAAGGTCTTAGCTCGGTTTGAGACCGAAGTACCTAGTTCGGTATATGCAAGCTTGTTCGGTAATCTTATCTTGGCTAGAGTGGTTCAGAAGAAACTACTGACATTCCTACAAGTTCTAGTTCGGTTATTGACTACAGAAGTCTACGTATTAGGGGCAAACAGAATCCTAGTTCGGTCGCAATGTGATTTTGGATCTAAGGCTTGTTTTTCTACATAACAGTTCATACACATACAAGTTCTATTCATTTTTTCATGAAAGTACAGAAGCAAAAACAAGGAATACACGAGCATGCTTCACCCAGATAGAAAAAACAGAAATGAAGAAAGCAAAAAAACAACAACAACAAGTTTTTTCAGAACTTACCAGTTTGGAGAAGAAGAAGTTGAAGATGGAGCAGTGGCGGCAACGGAAGCACGAACACAGTAAGCTCAAAGCTCAAGAACTCGAGCAGCCAAAAAAGCAGAGAGAGAGTATGAGGGGTGGTAAAAGTGAAGATACCCTAGCCTCAGGGTTCACTTTTGTTAGAGAGCCCAAAATTTGGGCGGGAACCGTCTCGAGATCTCAAAGCACGAAGATGGCGTGACAGCCGTCCTTAGCCAATCAGAGCCTGCCACGTGTCACTGGAATGGGAAGCGTTACAGACACTATGATTGAAGAGACGTTTTGACCGGACATAGTGATACCCGAGGTAAACTTAGTTCGGCTGGAAAGGATAAAAGGGTTTTTTAGCTCGGCTGAAAAAGCGTAACAAACTCTAGCTCGGCCAAAAGGCTGGTAATCCCAATCATGTTGCACAGATGGAATTAAGGGGCAATTGAGAGGGTAATTTTTGGGAAAAATTGGGCCGAGCTGAGAGTTGGGCTTTGAGGCCCAAAACGCGAAGGATTACGTAAAAAGGCCGTACTGAATACTCCAGCCTAAAGGGCAAGGTTACTCCGGCCTTGGGGAGACAAAGTTACTTCGGCCCAAGGAGGTAAGTTTATTCCGGCTCAAGAAGAGATAGTTGCTTCGGCCCAAGGAGGAGTAAGGCTACTCCGTTCCAGAGACAACTCGGAGTAAGACCGGTTTCACAGTTAGTCCGGTCGTGACACAATCTGGTTAGGTCGGTCAAAACTTGTTACTTGGAAGTCTGATCTAAGCACACCAAGGTTGAACAGGGGCATCCGAAGTAATGAGTTAAAGGAGAAGACCGAGCTAAGGATAGTTCGGCCTTCTCTATGGCTCAGCATAGCCCGTGTTATTTCGGCCATGTGGTAGTTCGGCTATGAAGAAAACTATCCCACTTGGTTTAAGCAGTGGGGGAGGGTGTAAAAGGATAAGCATTATCCTTAGAAGAATGAATCCTAGGAGGACTCTGCATGGAGAAATACAAGTCCTACTAGGATTGTGCCACGAGAAACTTATAAAAGCTCACAAGCAACACCTTGGAGGAGGTAATTGAACACAATCTTTCTGAGAACTTAGAGCTTTGTCTATTTGTCAAGTTTACTGACTTAGGTAATTCCTAAAAAATAATTTTGTTTCTAAATTTTGATCTTTAAAATTTTAATTTTTTATAGTGCTAATACCCAAACACAAATCTTCTAAATTAAGAATTTCAACGTCCGCCTAATCAAAGAAGCGTGAGTGTCTTGTGTTTGCTTTCTAAAGATGACCCCAGCATATGTATAAGAAGACTTGGGAGCAATGAGTTGGTGAAAATACATTTGTTCACACTTCTATGATTATTGAATTTATACTCATCAAGAATTAAGAACTAATTTTTCTCCTCACAACAAAACCAACCATGGCTATGACTCTGTGCAACTCTTGGAACCCATTAGTTCCGTCAAGTACTATTCTTCTTTGTTCTCTCTTCTTCTTCACCCTTTCCAAATAGATCTTTAAGGTGTAGTGGTTTCTTGAATGAACTTTCGTTTTTAATTTTATGCAACTTCCATTTTGATTTTTATTTTTATTCCACTTCCATTTTTATTCAATTTCATTTTCTATTCAATTTCCTCTTTTTATTTATTTTTCAAATAGATCGTTAAGGTATAGTGGTTTCTTGAATGAACTTCCACGTTTAATTTTATTCAGTTTCCGTTTCTATTTTCATTCAACTTCTATTTTTATTCAATTTCCATCTCCATTCAATTTGCCTTTTTATTTAGTTTTCAAGTTGATCGTTAAGGTGTAGTGGTTTCTTGAATGAACTTCCATTCTTAATTTTATGCAACTTCCTTTTTATTTTTATTCCACTTCCATTTTTATTCAATTTCCGTTTCTATTCAATTTCCATTTTTATTTAATTTCCAAATAGATCGTTAAGGTATAGTGGTTTCTTGAATGAACTTAAATTTTTAATTTTAAGCAACTTCCATTTGTATTTTTATTCCACTTCCATTTTTGTTCCATTTCCTATACTATTCAATTTCATTTCTTGTTTAATTTCCAAATAGATCGTTAAGGTATAATGGTTTCTTGAATTAACTTTCATTTTTAATTTTATACAACTTCCATTTTTATTTTTATTCAATTTCAATTTTTATTCAAATTTCTTTTCTATTCAATTTCCTTTTTTTATTTAATTTCCAAATAGATCGTTAAGGTATAGTGGCTTCTTGAATAGGCTTTCACTTTTAATTTTACGCAACTTCTATTTTTGTTTTTATTCAACTTCCAATTTTATTCAAATTCCTTTTCTATTCATTTTCCTTTTCTATTTAATTTCCAAATAGATCGTTATGGTATAGTGGTTTCTTGAATGAACTTCCGTTTTTAATTTTATGCAACTTCCGTTTCTATTTTCATTCAACTTCTATTTTTATTCAATTTCCATCTCCATTCTCAATTTCCTCTTTTTATTTATTTTCCAAATAGATCGTTAAGGTATAGTGGTTTCTTGTATAGACTTCCATTTTTAATTTTATGCGACTTTTGTTTTTGTTTTTATTCAACTTCCATTTTTATCCAATTTCCTTTCCGACTCATTTTCCTTTTTTATTTAATTTCCCAATAGATTGTTATGGTACAGTGGTATATTGAATGAACTTCCATTTTTAATTTTATGCAACTTCCATTTTTCTTTTTTTTCCACTTCCATTTTTATTCAATTTCCTTTTCTATTCAATTTCCTTTTTTATTTAATTTCTATGCAACTTCTATTTTAGTTTTTATTCAACTTCCATTTTTATTCAATTTCCTTTCCGATTCATTTTCCTTTTTTATTTAATTTCCCAATAGATTGTTATGGTACAGTGGTATATTGAATGAACTTCCATTTTTAATTTTATGCAACTTCCACTTTTCTTTTTTTTCCACTTCCATTTTTATTCAATTTCCTTTTCTATTCAATTTCCTTTTTTCTTTAATTTCTAAATAGATCGTCAAGGTATAGTGGTTTCTTGAATGAACTTCCATGTTTAATTTTATGCAGTTTCCATTTCTATTTTTATTCAACTTCTATTTTTATTCAATTTCCAACTCCATTCAATTTCAATTTTTATTTAATTTCCAAATAGATCGTTAAGGTGTAGTGGTTTTTTGAATAAACTTCCACATTTAATTTTATTCAGTT